ATGAATGTTTGATTTCTGGCTTACAGCCTGAAAAATACATAGATTTCTGTGATCTCTAGAAAGATAAAGATGAAACCTCATGTTTTAATTAGGGGCTAATAGCTTTAGTTCACTCCAATGCAAAGGCCTTTGGTTTTTTAAAAGCTTTCCAACCCAACTGAAAGGCTGCTACTCAATTAGTCTGGAGTTATACATCAGCTGGTCAAGCAGTGACAGCCTAAGCTACTGCTTTCTCTGTAAGAGCTTTTAGTTGGGGGGGGGGGGGGGGGGGGGAAAGCATTGCTTTTACATCCTCTGGCTGCACCAGCACTGCCAAACTGCTGATGGAAACTGAGCTCAGTAGGTCCTACCACTGCAGCTACACAGGATCCAAGCCTGAGCCTGCCCCTGAGTCCCCAGGGAGCTCTGCTGGAGCTGCTGCCACTCTGCGAGGAAAAAACTGGGAAAATCTCATCTCCACATGAATCTGCACAGCTTTGAACTGAGTATTAATTAATATTAATTTTTGAATAAGTGATTGGAAGTGTGTGTACGTGAAAGCACCAGAACACTTAACAGAGAGGACTCTGGATAGTGAGGGATGCCATTCCATGGAATGGAGGATTCACTCCTGCTGTCCAGCCCCACAGGGCCCACCCTGGGGAGAACACAGCACAGGCAGCTCCTGAGCAAGACCCTGCACTCACAGCAGGACAGTCACAGAAGTCTCAGCAAACCACATACACCAGTCCTCCTTCAGCCCAACAGGCCAGGGGCTCACAGGAAGGCTAGCAGCAGTAGGATATCAAAGGTGTCCTAAAGGAAATGAAAGATTTGTCCAAAAAGTTAGCTAATCATTGACAATCAAGAAGAACCAGGAGATGAAGTGAGGATTTGACTCATCCTCCATGTGCACAAGCAAACCTCTGAGCAGGTACGCCATGAGAGCATAGCTGTGTAAAATCAAATTGCTTAATGACTTTGAATATTGCAATCCCCTTCCAATAACCTTTCAGTGAGTTTTGTAGCCCTAATTTCCCACAAACCAACCAAAGTGAGCAAAGGCATGTTCATCTCCACTGGGCTGCAATCATCGGAGAGATGTCATCTGAAAGAAATGTGGGCACACGCTGGGTCTCAATAGCTTTATGCCAGTGTGCCGAGCAGAGCTGTGCCTCAACAGAGCAGCTGTCCTGGCCCACCCGGCCCTCTGAGCACAGGCTTTCCTCCCTGGAGAGGCGGGTGTTAGTGGCAGCAGGGGATGGCAGCCACCCCACCTGCCTGTGCCCCTCTTCTGCAGCACGTTTGGCAGGAGCTGTAAATGGTGACCTGTGCGAGGGGCAGGAGCTCTGCCAGGGCACAGCAGCCTGTCAGCAGCTGCAGCACATAGCAGCACACCGCACACTGCTGGAACCAGCCGAGATAACGCTGGGAAACCACCAAACACCGACCGCCTGCTGGTACCTCACACCCTGCTGTTACTGTCGCAGCTCACACAGCCACCACCCCGGGTGATGTCCCGAGCCATCAGCACACCATCGCTGCAGGAGGAGCTGCAGCCTCCTCAAGCAAAGCTCAGGCACAAAGCCGCTCTCCGGCGGGCACGGGCAGGGCAGAGAGCCCCGGGGCAGGAGGGACAGGGACACGGGGGACAGCCCGGCCCTCCTGCCAGCAGCCCTGCGGAGCGGCTCCGCCGGGAACGTCTGCCCGGCAAAGCCTGTGCGGCCCCGCAAGGAGAGGCTGGCTTGGAAAAGCTGCCCACGGGATGCTGCTCCCTGCTGCTTTTCATACCGCCCCGGGGGTGAGAGATAACGTGAGAAATGCGAACAGGCTGAGCCAAGAGCCACCTTCCTTTGTGCGGCGCTGTCACCATGACATATTTTATGAAAATCCTTTTGGTAGGATTTTCACCTGAGAAGCTGAGGAGCCTCAGGAGAGAAATGTAAACAATAATTATCTGCTGCTGTGGAATGCAACAGGTGCAGCTGTGATTGGTGCATGTTGGTTGTTTCTAATTAATGGCCAATCACAGTCAGCTGGCTCGGAGTCTGCCAGTCACGAGCTTTTGTTATCATTCCTTCCTTTCTATTCCTTTCGAGCTTTCTGAAGGATCCTTTCTTGCTATTTCTTTAGTATAGTCTTAGTATAGCATGTTAATATGATATAATATCATAATATAATAAATCAGCCTTCTGAAACCTGGAGTCAAGATTCTCATCTCTTCCCTCGAACACAACTGTAGGGCACAAGGAAAAGCAGGTAACAAACTCCTCACTGGCTCACCAATTCCACTGTGGACAATCTGCCTTTGCAAACTGGCTGCTGCTCAGCTCACACAATCCACTTGTCCCTCAGTAACTTCTTAGTAAACTTCCCTCCTCTGCCTGATTCTGTATTTTCTCACTATAATTAAATGTGACATGCAGCTGCAGTAAATATTTGTGCTGTCACAGCTCACATATGATAATCACCAAAGAGCCAACTTGTGCAGGGAATGCATATAAATTCTAGTCTAGGCTGTAGCTGGGCTGATATTTTTAGTCTAATGCAAATTCACTAAAGCTAGAAATTTGACAGAGTAAGAGCAAAAAAAGAATGCAACCTTACTTTTCATTGAAAAAGGTAACTAACTGTGTTATCCAGATACTGAGGCAGCCTTGAGAGGCTGGGTTTAAGAATTAATCTAATTGCCACTAGATGGCACATCTCATTTACTAGTCTGTATCTAAATTTTGGACTGCCTTTTAAAAAAAACCATATATATTCCCTGTCCTTGCTAACAGAACACTTTGTGTTGCTTTCTGTTTTAAAATCAGAAAGCTTAAAAAAAACCCAAATAAAAAATTAAAAAAAATTAACTAAAAGTACACCATCTGCCAGTGGAAATCTAGCTTGATTCTGTCACATCTACAACGAAACCAGGTTAATAACCAGCATCACAGATGGTTTCCTTATATAAATATGTACATCTCCCCATAGTGACTCTTTCAGCTGCTTCCCAAAGCTGCTGGCACTGCGTTACCTTGTTTCCCAGGCAATGGCTGTGCCTCACGCTCAGCCTGGACATTATGCAGCTGGAATGGATTTCAGAAGATGCCATCCCTGCCTGTGGCTGTTTCAGCACCATCACGACTGCAGTGGTGGACAGCCGTGTCTCTACCAAGAGCAGCAACAGATGGATATTAAAACACTCTGCTGCAGCTGCTCTGCTCCCTCAGATGATCGAATCTGCTGAAGGGTGCTTTTAACTCACCCAAATTCTCACTCAAGGCTACAGACCAATATCATGGTGACCTCAATATGACAGCAATGGGGCTGCAGTCAGAGCACCAAAGGTACAATTTGCTCTTCCTGCAGCATTCAGCAATAGAAACTGTTAGAAACCACTGAAACACAAACAACAAAATCTTTGTGGCTGCCATGCTCATTTTCCCTCTGTAGTTAAGTGTCAGGGTGTCCAACAGGAGTGGTTATTTCCCCATTCTCTCAAATCCAAACTCACATAAGATGAGCACTTCATTTCTGTTCTTCCATTGCCAGCAGTGAAATGTGTTTCAGACCAGTCTGCAAACCTACTGCTACCACTTTGAAAACCTGCCACCTTCCAAGGAGCTCCAAGAGCATCAAGTCTGTTAAATAAAGACACAGAGAACAAACAGAATTAAATTCCTTTCTTCTGGTTCTACTCCAGCCATCTGAAAACCTCTAGAAGTTAAATTTATTTTAATGACAAAGAGCATGCTCCTCTGTGGCATAAAGCTTCTGAGGAGCTCAGCAGCAGTGGGGTTTGGCGTGAGCTAGGACTGGTCTGCACAGAACTCTGAACTACTGGGAGCTGAGTTCTCTTGGCATCCATGTAACACATGCCCCTTTTATAGCACAGTGAAGGCCAAGAGTGTAGTTCCAACTGGTTTACAGTTTCTGAGGGTATAATAAAAAGCATTGCAAAGAATACTCTTAGAGTATCACAGGAGAGCAGAGGACCAGAGTAAAATGATCTAAACTCCACCATGTCTATTACACTGATACAAGTGATAAAAATAAATCACTAGCTACATTTGGGCCCAAATTTATGAATACCTGTAAAATGGGGGTCATGATATTGATGTCTAAACCCAATGAAACTTGTAAAGGACTGTTTAGATACTAAATACTATTACAGATGAACTGGAACCCCCATTTTTCCTATGGCCTGCTTTACAATCAGTGGTCAGCTCTGTTCATTCTGGGTTTGAACAGCTGAGCACAGGATGCCAACTCCATCCCACTGGATCATTCCATCATCTGCCACTGCTAGCAGTGTGTTGTTTTGGAAAGACTGAGTTTGTGAAATAACCAGAAAATTTCAAATTAAAATAACTGGATTCATAAAAAATAGTATTTTTAAATGGATATAGTTGGTAAAATCTTTTAAAAGTTGCAGTGTATGTAATTGCCAATGAAATGAAAACCCCACTGATTTCAGGTTTGCCATTATGAAACACTGACAAGGTTAGGAGTACTCACCATTCTTTTTCACCTCCTTCTCACATCAGTGAAAAAGTGTTATCAAATACTGAGAACAACAACTGCACTGCATGCCGCTGAATTTATCAAAGGCAAATAGAATATGAAGAAGTAAATTAATCAAATGCATAAAACAACAGCTTCTGAGTTTAAAGCTTTACCATTTTAACCTTAACTTATAAAAACCTCATCTCACACACACACAGAGAAGTCTTTATTTTAGGCAAAAAATGAACTTGGTAGAACAGCTTCAGGTGTGTCTTTCCATAACAAGAAGGCACACCGGCACATTTTCCTACCTACAAACTTGCCTTACGAGTGCCTCCAAACCCAGTGGGACCAAGTGGCTGGGACATTCAGCCCCACAGCATTTGGTGCTCACAGTAGCAATGCAGCTGGCCGTCACCCCAGCCCAGCAGCACTGCTGCTGCCAGCTGCTGGCTGCCCACTGCAGGCCTGCCTGAGCTCCTCCAGTGCTCCTTTCCTTTCAAGCAACACACACATCAATAGGAGGCTTCTCCTTAAGATTTTAATGAAAACCAAGGACCAGCTGTACAGACTCAAGCAAGAAACCAATGCTCAAATGACAACCTTCATCCTGGGGCTCAGACAAAACTGGCAGATTCAGCTCCCCATGTTTTTCATGCCACACCCTCCCATCCTAGGGCACAGGAACCTGGTGAAAATTGAATTGAAAGTGTTCACAGTTTGTTTTCCTGTTACTTGAAATCTTGTTTAAGAATTTACTTCCCTTCTTACATAAAAAGATAACTCAAGAATTACAATAAAAAAGAGAGAAACAAAGTACAGATTGAGTCTTTTGAGTTCACAGTAATGTACTTCCTCATAAAATTTTCCTTTGCAGGGCTGAAACAAACAACAGGTAAAATTCTTCAAAGTGCCCCAGCTGCTCTGGCACCTTACATGTCATACACAGGGAAAAAAAATTAAAGCACTTAAACAAACAGAATCAAGTCTCTGAAATAAAACAAAAGGACTTTGAAAATTTTCACAAGTGACACAGTAGCCTAAGGGCAGCATGATTCCCTTCAGTGATTTGAACTGGTCCTAGTGCAGAGCAATCCAAAATTTCATAGCAAGTCGGTGTCAGGATAATGCAGTAACCTAATACTATCCTTACAAATCCACATGAATCAAAAATGATAACAAGAATGATAAAAATTTAAAAACCCCCAAACAACAAAACTGAACAACCCAAAATTACTTCGATCAGCATATATTTGTAATTAGTACTGAACACTTGAAATTGTTGCATTGAAGATTCAGAGTCAGGAGAGTAAAATGCATTCCAGTATAAAAATCCTGCTCTGGAGGGGATCATTTTCCATATTTTACTCGTGCGTCTAAATCCTTGGTAAGGTAAGTGGTCAGCACTTCCAATACATTGGCTCTGAGAATAGAATTTGACATTACAAGTTCAATCAGCTGACGAGGACCAGTCCAGTCAAAGTACTTGACAACAGCCACGGCTTCAGCACAGAGTTTCTGCTTCTCAGCAGCAGGCAATTCCATTAAAATCTTAGGGACTGACTTGAACTGTCCAGAAGTCATCCATCCAATCAATACACCCATTGCTCCTCCTAGGAAACAAAAAGAATCATTATCTTTAACAGTTAATGTTAAAGTCTGGAATTCCATGCACAGCCTTCACCAACAATGTTCCCACAGTGATCAGAAGTCAAGATTGAGTTGTGTATGTGTCTGCTTTAACTAGATTTATACACAGTATTCAAAGCATCAAAAAGGATTTTAAAAGCTCTTTACATCCACAGCAACCATAAAGAAACCCTTCCTGCAATCAACACTAACAGCTTCAAGCTAGAAACCAGAAGCAAAACACTCCCTGGGACACTCTCTCAGGGGAAGCTCTACTGCTACATAAAGCCTTGCCCAAGGAAAAGCGCAGAGCAACAGCTGCCTTAGCAGTGTCATCATCTCTTACTAGATACTGCCAGAGTGGTCAAAGCTTTCTGCTTGTTGAAGAGTCACCCACTGCAGTGTCCTACACACCTGAAGCCACCCCTGCAGGTGCTCAGAGACCAATCCCATCAGACACATGCAGGCTTTCATCCACCAGGGGCACAGCCCACCCTCCCCAGGAGGACAAGACATGCTGGGCTAAGGGAAGGCCCCAGGTTATCAGGATGACAGCAGAGGGATGGATGTACAGCTGATGTGCCTGTGGCTGCTGAGAAAGCAGCCCAGCAGCCCTGCAGGGCTCCCCTCCAGCAGCAGTGAGTGCAGCACAGCAATCCACAGGGCAGCACTGCCCGCAGCACACACGGCCTGGGATGGATGGACAGATGGAATGAAGGAAGGTGGGAGAGAAAGAGAGAACCCTCCCAATGGAGAGGTGGCAGAACTGACCCTGCCACCAAAACTGCCACCCCCAGAGACTGCTCCTAAAAAGTCATCTAGGCACTCACAGGGATGCACTTTTTCATTAGACAAAAACTCTTCATTTGCACCTTTTACTCAGTGAGCAATTTTTCCCAAGACAGCACAGAAATACTTGAAAGCTGACGATGGCTGAATTCATCTTCAAGGGACTTTCATGAGAACATCAATTACTGATTTAGGGGCACTTAATGCAAAAGCCACTAGAAGCATTGATGTCTAAGCTCCTTGTCCATTGAGACAAGATTTGTTTCACAATCACACTTTCTCCCCCAAGCAACAAAGCCACAGCCCACTCTGCTCAGAGCAGGCAGTCCTGGGGAAGCACGAGGACTGGAAGCTTCTGCAGCAATGCTGCACATGGCAGGGAACTCATCCTCATTCCTGGTGCAAAGCAGCAAGAGGGACAACCCCTGCACCCAGTCCCACACCTGTCCTGGCTGTCAGAGCAAGTGAAGGTGCACTTGATTGCTAATGTCCTAACTGTCCTGAACTTATCTGGCTTATTTACCTCTCCAATTTTAAAAGCTAAATGAGAGGGTTATGATTTAGTGACACTGTAATTGAGACGTGGCTCATAGTTTATTTAGTACTAATTACTCCAATTATTTATGCTTATTTTTGTATACTTTCAGTATAAAATAATAGGAATACTTGTTCCAGTCCCTTCCACAGTGGTGGAAGAACTTCAAGATTGACTAGGAGACATAATGAAAGCTTTAACACTTAAAAGACAAAATACATCCATTAATAACTTCAGTATTTCTCTTCATCTGACTCAAGAAGGAGGCCACTTACATTATTACCTTTAGTTCAGATGTTATGCTTACAAATTCCTTACAAAAGCTTAATTTCCCTTCTTTTTTCCTGATAACTTCAGTCATACATTTCTCAACATATTATTCCATCAATTAGGTTTTGTACCTGCACTAGGAGTTAATACACAGCTTCACTTTGCACTTTCTGTTATCACTGCTCACAAATTATTTGCTTGCTTTTGTAACTCACCCTGATGGAGGCACACTGCAATTCACTCCAGCATCAGTAAGCCTGTGAAATTCCTGCAACTGCTCCCAGGACATTCAACATTCATGGGCCAGGGCCCACATGCCTTCAGCAACAAGGCAGCCTTCATTGATAAGTTGAGAATTAAGGTCTGAAACAGAGGAGAAACAATTCTGTACTATTAGACTTTGGCTTTTCTCTAACTGTCCATAACAAGAAGAAAAGCAAAGCGACAGGGAAAAATGAATCCCAGTGGGAAAAACCCCAAGTTCATCAGGACATGGATATCAGCAGCCTTTAATAGACAGAAATAAGCATCATTTTTAGTGAGAAATGATCCTGCCCCATGCTAAGGCTTATTCACCCTCCCCTCATGGCAGCAGGAAATCTCAGCCCTGAATGCCCCTTTCCTTCAACCCACACCTGCTCATTTCTTCACTCGGGGATTTAACCACCCTCCTCAAGGATTTCGGTTCGTGTGAATGGATTAAAAATTCCAACTGGGCCAAAGAACATCCCCCCAACAATGACGAATGGACTTGCCACAGCTGCTCCCCGACAAGAATGGGTGACAGCAGCTTTCATGCCCGTCACCGTGGCAATGTGGGTGAGCATTGTCATCACATCATCAGTACGGGCTGTGTACTCTTCCTCTCCAAATCCTGCAAAAGACGTTTTAAATTATCTTCTGACCACTGCCACCAAGACTCAACATAGCTGCTACATTAATTTGCAGGGAACAAATCTCTATTGTACCTAGTAACTGCTTTCTCTTTTGATTACAGAAGACCAGGCCCTGCAGTAGGTGCTGAGAGTTACTGGAATGGCCAATTTGCAATGAGACTTCTGGTCTCAGGTTAAACCACAAAAAAAAAAAAAGGGTTTATAAAAAATTCAGAGGTTCTACTGAATCAAATTCTTCAGTACA